GGGTCCCTGTGCAGAGAAGCTCCTAGTCCAGGGAAACACCGAAGAGAAGGCCGACAAGAGAGAAAAAGCCTTCCCCTGGAGCTGTCGCCTGAATTTGGACTTTTAGCCTACTTTGACTGTGAGGAAATAAACTTCTCTTTGTTAAAACCATCCACTTGTGGTATTTCTGTTATAGCAGCACTAGATGACTAAGACAGAGCCTTAACAGTTTTCACTACCTGGGGAACTACGGTGGACCTAAATGAGAGCTGAGGTCAGTGTCATTCATACCATCATCGTCTCAAGGAATATGTAAAGCTATCTCAATCACAACGATACGTAACACCTAAAATGAGTACTGTTACACAAAATGTTACTTCAAAAAATCTTTTTCATCATCTTGACTGAGGTATAAATTGCATACCATAAAATTCAGTTTAAAGTATAGAGATTGACGACTTTTGATAAATTTATAAACCTACGTAACCTCCACCTCAATCAAGATATAGAACATGTCTATCTCCCCAGAAGGTTCCCTGTGCCCTTCTGCAGTCACCCCTCCCCACAAACCTGCTATAGGCAACTAGTGATCTGACTTCTATCACTGTATTCTAGAATTTCATATAGATGGAATCATATAGTATGTACTCATGTCCAGCTTCTTTCACTCAGCTTAATGTGAGATTTTTCCATGGTGTTGTATCAGTAGTTCATTCCTCTTAATTACTGAGTAGTACTCCATTGGACGAATATTCCACAATCCATTCTCCTACTGCTGTCATCTGAGTTGTTTCCAGTTTTTAGCTATTAAAATAAAGCTGCTATAAACATTTTTATACAAGGCTTTTTCTGGACATACGCTTTCATTTCTCTTGGGTAAGTGACTAAGAGTGAAATTGCTGAGTTAAAAGGTAGGTGAATGTTTAATCTGGTTGTACCACTTTGCACTCCTACCAGCAAGGTATGAGAGTTCCCGTTTCTCCCCATCCTTGTCAACTCTGTACTGACAATCTTTCTAATTTTAGCTATTCTAGTCAATGTAACATGATAAATTTACACATCTGTGTAACCTTCACCCCAATCAAGATATAGAACATTTCTATCTCCTCTGAAAATTCCTTTGTCCCCCTCCGCACTCACCCCCACCACACTGCCACAAGCAACCCGTGAAGTGATTTCTATCAGTATAGACTGTATTCCAGAATTTATAGCAATGGAAATGGTTTTAAACTGCATTTCCCAGATGACTAATAATGCTGAATATCTTTTCACGTGCTTCTTGGCCATTTGTATATCTTTTGTGAAGTATCTGTTCAGGTCTTCTGTCCATATTTAAAATAGGTTATCTGTCTTATTGAGTTATAAGGGTCTGGAGTTTGTTTTTTTAAAATGAATTCTGAATACAAGTCCTTTGTCAAAATATTTTCTCTCACCTATAGCATGCCTTTTCATTTTCTTGATGGTGTCTTTTAAAGAGCAGAAGGCTCTAATTTTGATAAAATCCAATGTATCAATTTCTTTTTTTATGATTAGTGCTCTTTGCATCCTGAGTAAGAAATCTTTGCTTGCCCCAAGGCTGTGAAGAGGTTTTCCTATGAAACAACTTATTTTTACAAGTTCATTTTAAGAATGGTACTTTGATCACATTTAAATTCTTCTATGAAGACATGAACCTCTACAATCCTAGTCAATCTCTGTCAAGAGTATTTCGTTCCTGAGAATATTTACTTTAAAGAACACAAAGCTACTTTTAGGTCACCATGAAATGAAATATGTTAAGAATGTCACAACTAAATGAAAAGCTGAAATGTAAAGTAAAATAATCTTCAAGAAATCATTTCCGACCTTGTCCAGAAAACAGTTGACTCAGCTTTTTAGTTATTATAATTCTTGAGCAACTTTCGTCAGTATTATCTCACTTTAGATGTAAACAAAATAAACTTTTTAAAGTTGGCCTGTCAAAGTAATTAGTCTTCTAATTAGTTTCAACATAGAAATTGATGCAAAAACAGCTATTAGACAAAGACATGACATGTATAGGTATTTTTTCCTTTTTATCAGTTTATAAATAATTATAATATAAGGGAATTTCCTATCACACATCCACATTCAAATATTATTTTAAAAACACATTCTAAAGCAAATAAAAACAACCTAAGAATTATTAAGTTATCCGTATTGCTGTATCATCACAATCTCAACAACCTCATCTAATCCCCATTTCTGGGTGTCCACATCTTTAATTTACAAATTAATCAATTAATTGATCCAAGCAAAGAAAACTTTTCAACAGGATTGGTAAGGAGCTAGTCAGATTTATACAGTTTTTAAAACAACATTCTGCTGGTATCACTGACGTACGATCATGCATATGACTCCAGAGGAGATTCCAGGTGTAGAGAAATCTGAGCAGTGTTGCTGTTACTCAGTTTGTTTATATGCCACCTCAAACTGCTAAGAGGATTTGCGGTAGATGTTTAGGAGCTACAGATTGCATACCTGATTCCTAGTCACCAGCTATGAAAACTTTATATTCAGACTACATATAAAAACTATTATATCCAGAACCCATAAAAGATCGAAATGGTATTTATACACATCCAGCTCAACAGCTTATCACAACATCCAGAAGGATAGGAAACACTATAATGAAAGCAAGTTGGGCAAAGGTTTATACTTTAGATTCTTTCCCCCTATTCCATGAAGAAAAATGCTAGGGGGCACCCCAAATCCAAGCAGCTAGTCTAAATGTACTGAAAATAACTAAGGTAACCACTGCTTGTCTTAAAATATCTTCCAATTTACGAAGCATCTAGAAAAATAATTTCAGACGTATTATTTAAAAAAAAAAACAAAAAAAAACTGGTTTCATTGTTTTCCCCAACATAAATCTCTGAAAAGGTAAGGGTATTAAAAAAAAAAAAAGTTGGTTAATTTTAGTTACTCGTTTAAAAGACTAGATATCAGAAATTATACCACAAATATTCAACTTACAGTTACTAGTTTTGTATAACACTGATTATTGTACGATATGGAATCAGTGTACATTAAGTAACAAATTGAGATTTTAAATAGTTTCAAGATCCCAATCTCAGTTTTGTTTCTAACTTCCTTTATTACATACACAAATTATTCAGACTTTTGGTGCCTCAGTTTCATCACTGATAATATATAAATAATACCAGAATTCGAACACTACTGGTGATTATATGACTAAGGATTGGAAACGTATTAACTCGTCTTTGGGCTGCTAAGGTATTTTAAAATTTATACAATGCCTTTCCTATGGAGAACTCAATAGACATATAAAATTATAAAAATTAGAAATAAAGTTATAAAGGGAAATTTCAGAGAAAAAAAGGCAAGTGGACAGAGAAAAAAGGATGAAAAAGGGCATCAAAAAACAGAGTCTAACAGCCTGAAACACAATTCACATAATTCATGGTAGTCAATATTTCATCTACTACATGCTCATTTCCAACAACTTCCTATGCCCTTGCTTTGATTCTTTATCTCTGAACAAGACTGCATCCTTCCAGGACAAACTATGCACCAGAATCAAGTCCACAGACACTGTTACAAGGCTACAGTAGCACACTCAAATTTTACAAATTAGAATTTACCATGATACGCTCAAAGAGCTATTATCCTTTCAAAAGATGAGAAATCTACTTAAGAATTCATTCTTTGATAATGCACTACTAAGCTAAGCGACCAGTATAAACTTTAAGAAGTAATCTAGTCTTTAGAGAAACAAAAATAATGTACTTTGAGTATAGTTCAAGTGAATGGGCAAAATTTAGCCTAGAAAAACAGACTAACGTATACGACAGGTGTTTTTAAAAACCTGAAAGTGTCACAGGAAAGATGAATTAAATCTGTCCTCCAGAAATCCGGGGGGATAGAACCAGAAACAATTAAGAGGAGGATATGTTTTGAAGCAATGAAAAGCCACATGAAAGTAAGCACTGCATCTATGTTGTTCTCATGGCTGTATGAATAAATAGCACCTAACATTCTTGGTGTACAGTAAGTTCTCATTTTCATAAACATTAATCAACTGAATGTGAGAACATTCTAAGAATCAGAATAGTTCAAGGCCGAAATAGGCTGCTCAGGAGGCAGTTAACTCTTCGGTCACTGAACACTATTAAACAAATGCCAGAAGACTACTCATCAAAGATATTGTCAGATGGAACCAAGCATAAGGTGGTTAGGCAGGCTCGATGAAAATTAAGGATCCTTCAAACTCTGAGAATCTGTAATTCTAAAAATAAATTCAGAACATAAAAGAAAAGTTTCAAGTGAGGAAAGTATTATTACAATCTGAAAAATGCATAAAATGTATCAATCATTACACATCTTATGAATACATAAGATAATTTACCAATTTTTCTACCAACCTTAAAGATTTTTCAACAACTTGGGTACGATAAACTTCTTCCTGGTCCAAATTTACGGTGCAGAAACAATCTCTCATTTTGTTGGGTCCAAGATATGGCAATAAATTTTTTGCTTCACCTGTTAGTACAAAAATTCAAACTGATGTTAAATATCAATTGCTACTTCATATTAAGCCTTTTATAGGATGAATGTAATCCAAATGAACATATTAAGTGTGGTACAGAAAAAAAAAGTGATTAGAGAAAGAAGATCATCAACTTGGTCTAAAAGAACATGGAAAGACTGAAACGAGGAGGGGCATCTGGGGCCATATTACATTGTTGTATCCCTGTCGATATGAAAAGCCAAGCCCCCCACCTGTGTTCTCCATCCCATCCTACCAGCACCACCTCAAGAACTTAGTTGGTCTAGTTGATTCTGACTAACAGAGACCCCATGTAACAGAGCAGAACTGCCCCATAGGGTTTCCTAGGCTGTAATTATGGAAGCAGATCGCCAGGTCTTTCTCTCGTGGAGCCACTGGGCGAGGGTGAACCGCCAACCTTTCACTTAGCAGCTGAGCATGTAACCACTGCACCACCAGGGTTCCTTTCAAGAACTTTACTCCTACTATTAATCCTTCCCTGTATCATCAATTTTCCTCTTTAGTGATCGTTTCCATCAGCACATAAACAACCTTTTGCGTTTTCCAATTTTAAAAAACGAACAAACAAAAATCTCCCTTCACTCCACCTCCCACCTCCTGATATCTCTCCATTTCTAGACTTCCTTTCACAGTAAAACTTCTCCAAAAAATCATTCTCATTGTCCCTACTTTCTCAACTTCCATTCACTCTGCGACCCCTTCCATGCTTCGGCTCTCATCATGTAACTGAAACCGCTCTGGCCAACGTCATCAATGCTTTCTATACTGCCAAATCCAATGGGCATTTCTCTATCCTCATGATACTTGACCTCACAGCATCATTTGACACAGTGAACATTAACATTCCTCCTTAAAATACTCTCTCTTCTCTTGGCTCCCACAAAACATCATTTCTGGTTTTCCTTCTACATCACTGACCCACTGCCGACTTCAACTTCTCCTTCTCCTTACCACTAAACGATGCATGTCCCAGGGTTCAGTTCTAGACCATCTTCTCTTCTTTCCCTAGGCAAAATCACCCAGATCTGCATCTACAGGCCTGACCTTTCCTCTTCAACACTAAATGTGAATATCCAACTGCATCCTTGGCTATCTATACCCATTGCCGACAAGTCGATTCTGACTCATAGTGACCGTACACGACAGAGTAGAACTGCTCCCATAGGGTTTCCAAGGAGGGGCTGGTGGATTTAAACTGTCAACCTTTTGGTTAGCAGCTGAGCTCTTAACCACTGTGCCACCAGGGCTCTCTATAGATACCTCAAATTTCACACATCCCACATATACCATCTGATTTCCTCCCCTAAAACACGCTCCTCTCTCAGCATTCCTCTCTTCAATAAATGGTACTACCACCTTCCTCTCTTTGTCTCACTATTCTCCCACCCAAATACACACCCCAACTCTCACCTTCACATCTAATTAATCAGAAAATCCAAAATAAATCTCAAATCCAACCTCTTCTCCTTGGCTTCACTGGTTATCACCCAAGTCCAAGCTACCATCATTTCTCCTTCGGACAACCATGACAGTTTCCTAATTGGCGCCTCTGCTTCCACTCTTGCCCCTCACAATCCATTCTCTATAACAACAGAGCGATCTTTTAAACATACTACTTAGGCCAGTCACTCCCCTGCTCCAATATCATCCCATTTCACTTAGAATACAATCCCATTTCCACACCATGGTCTTCACAGCCCTACTGAACCAGCACCCTGTCTACCTCTCTGACCTCTTCTCCTCCCACTCACCCCAGTATTCACCTTCTTTCATCACACATGCCAAGCTTGTTCAAGCTTATGGCCTCTGCCTGGAATGCTCTACCCCTGTATCTTCATATGGCTGCTCTTTCTTATCATTCAGGTCTCAGCTCAAATGTTACTTCCTCAAAGAAATCCTCCCTAACTATTCTATCTAAATAGATAATCCTGCTGCCATATTCTATTTCTGTTTTGTTTTCTGAACAGCATTTATGACTATCTGAAACTCTGTTAATTTTTTACTTATTTTCTGGTTCCTCCATTCCTAAGGTAATCCTCAAAATCCAAAACAGTGACTGTCATACAGCAGGCACTCAAGAAACATTTGTTGAATGAATGAACATTAAAAAACGCAGAAAGTCTAGTTTTGAAGTTCTTGTGAGATACTCATGGGCCAAGGGGAAACAAGTGTGGGTGCTGAAATCAGACAACGGCGTACTAAATTAGAAAAACAAGGTAGCTGGCATAAGGGAAAGAATACTGCTCTAAAAATCATGCAACCAATTTCCTGTCTTACCTCTGCTACTAAGTAACTAGATGATTTTAGACAAATCACTTTAAAGCAGTCTATCAGAAACTCAGGAAATATCTATGAAAAACCCAGTAAACAAGTAATTTTTAAAAATTAAGATAACCATTGGAAAGGCATCAGTAAGATACTCATACTGTTATTAAATTTGCTTTGATAGATTAGGAAAAACAGTTACTACTTAAACAGAATGAACAAATTTATGTTCAACTCAAGTCAGAATCAAAGAATCCAGCCTTTTTAAATGACCCCAAAATTGCCTAATATGGGTTGGTCCTTGCCAAAAAAAACTAGTGTCCTAACAGGAATACAACCTATATCTGAAGCTGTATCTATTCTCCTTTTCCTCTTATCCAAAGCTCATTCATCAATTTGTACTCTCTCTAACACCATTCTTTCTCACTCCCTCCATGAGTGTCCAGCAATTCTATTTTATTTATTTTCAACCTCTATTTCTTTAACAATTTCCCTCTGCACAATACAGAGAGGATTTTTACCAAAAGGCCAACTTGGTCACAATATAGGGCCTGAATGTAAAAGAATCTGTAGTGTTAGATCATAATAAACATGCTCACGATCTAATGAAAGAATGTGGAACACTGAATCACTGCCCCTGAACGCGATCCTGTTTCAGTCACATAAATGCAGTCTGAGAGAACTATGCTGTGCAAATGTGCACATTACCACACCCCACCCCCAGCCTCTTTTTTAAAAAGGGAGACAATGAGGTCATTCTGTCTGCAGAATCCAATGAACTTGACATCTTCAGATATTTACTCAGAATAAATAAAACTGTAGGTTCTACGTAACATATAAAATGTACTCAACATGCACTATTACAGGTATCAGAATCTGTACCTTTTGAATGTCCATCAGTGACTAAGTTCAAATCAACTACACTGAAAGTGAACTCATCTAATCAAGGTCCACCTCACCAATCATATAAATACGTTGTTTAAGTCAGCTATCAGGACTTTAAACTGTAACTCCAAACTACAGTAGTTTGACAGTAGTAACTGACACTTTATAAACAACAATCAAAAGTGAACAAAAACATGGTTAGTGACATAATAAAAGTAAGGTTGAACCCATTATATCTCTAAGCAGAAAGAATATTTTAAGATGTACTTTACATCAAGCTACACAAAAAGACAAAAGTGAGCAACACTTTGAGATTGCACTTGTCTCAAGTGTGATATCTGCCTAAGGGCTCACACACACACACAAAAAACACACACACACGAACCTGTTGCCAACGAGTCGATGACCCTACAGTCGACGAAGAGTAGAACTGCCCCACAGGGTTTCCAAGGAATGGGTGGTGGATGTGAACTGGTTAGCAGGCGAGATCTTAACCACTGTGCCACCAGGGCCCCAAGGCCTCCACTAAACCCGTTGCCATCAAGTTAATTCCAATTCATAACGACTCTATACGATAGAGGAGAACTAGCTCTACCCAATTCTGGTACATAAATAAGGATGTGCGCTGGTGGGCGGGGGGGAGTCAACTGCTCCTTGAAAGCCAAGCTTCTTAAAAATAAAATTTCTGCCTCCAATGCTTCCACGACTACTCACAGTCTGAACCTGCAATTTGGCTTCTGATTCTACTCGATTCATTAGGATGGTTAAGAAAACTAATAATCTTATTGCTAGGTGTCATCAAGTCGCTTCCGACTCATAGCAACCCTACATACAACAGAACAAAACACCGCCTGGTCCTGTGCCATCCTCACTATCTTTGCTTTGTTTCAGCCCACTGTTGCAGCCACTGTATCAATCCATTTTGATGAGGGTCTCCCTCTTTTTCACTGACCCTCTACTTTACCAAGCACGATATACTTCTCTAGGGACTGGTCCCTCCTGATAACACGTCCAAAGTACACGAGATGAAGTCTCACCATCCTCGCTTCTAAGGAGCATTCTGGCTGTACTTCTTCCAAAACAGATTTGTTCATTCTTCTGGCAGTCCACGGTATGTATATTCAATATTCTTCACCAACACCATAATTCAAAGGCATCAATTCTTCTTCAGTGTTCCTTATTCATTGTCCAGCTTTCTTTGGTATGCATATAATGCAACTGAAAATACCATGGCTTGGGTAAGGCTCCTTAGTCCTCAAGGTGACGTCTTTGCTTTTTAACATTTTAAAGTTCTTCATATAGACCAGCTTCTCAGATTATCTGCTCAGCATACAGATGGAATAAGTGTGGTGAAAGGATACAACCCTGACACACACCTTTCCTGACTTCAAACCACACAGTATCCCCTTGTTCTGTTGGAATGACTGCCTCCTCATGAACACAATTAAGTGTTCTGAAATTCCCATTCTTTCAATGTTTTCCATGATTTGTTATGATCCACACAGTCAAATGCCTTTGTATAGTCAATAAAACACAGGTAAACATCTTTCTGGTATTCTCTGCTTTCAGCCAGGATCCATCTGATATCCCTCGTTCCACATCCTCTTCTGAATTTGGCTTGAATTTCTGGCAGTTCCTTGTCGATGTATTGCTGCAACCATTTTTGAATTATCTTCAGCAAAATTTTACTTGCGTGTGGTATTAAGGATATTGTTCGATAATTTTCGCATTCTGTTGGATCATCTTTCTTTAGAACAGGCACAAATATGTCTTCCAAATCTCTTGGCATAGACAAGTGAGCACTTCCAGTGCTGCATGTGTT